ATGTTTATTTAATTAGCCATTATTAGTAATATAATTTTAGTTTTTAACATTCTACCAAAAAAACAATTTGGTTATTAATGTTAATAAGTCCTATAACTTCGGTTTATCTCACTTTTAAAATTATGATTTTATTTAGTTGTTTTACTTTTGTATTTGTAAATACATTAAATGCTCATTTTTCGAATATACTCCTATTATTCTTACATAGAAAATGGTTTTATTAAGAAGAAATATGATATTTAATTTAAACAATAATCATTGTATTTTTTTTGTTTTTACCTAAATCGTTTTTTGCGTGTGAAAGTCCAAAGTGGGACAAATAAAAAGAAGGAAAAAAACAAAGGGAGTAATTGTTAGTTGTTATTTTCTTCTCCTGCTCCAAAATAGGAAAATGTTTCAAGATACCCTCTAGTTCAACACATATGTTAACATTAATTTAGTTTAATTATTCAAATATAATATAAGTGTAATTGATTCAACTGGTTCTTTTTTATATTTTTAATTCAAGACCAAAAATAATAATTTTTTAATAAGTGCGCTGAATAAGGGGGTGTTTTTATCAGTGTCTCCAAAATAACTTTCATTTGAATTAAAACCCATTTATATACAAGTCTTATACATTATATTTAAACAAAATTTTGATAATTTATCTCTACATTTTCAATTGTTGAGTTTTATATTTTTACTTTTGTTACCGATAAATTAAATAATTAAAGTTAAGGGAACAATAGGGTTAAAGTAGGAAAAAAATGTGTTTACTTTAAAAAATAAAAAAATAACAATTAATTTTAGATAAATTTTGAGTAAAAAGGAAACAATTATTTCAAGATATAGGGAGTACTCATTAAAATATTCTTAAATTTAAGAAAAGATACCTTTCCTTATTGGTTCTTAACCTTTATCATTCAAGTACAAGCTAGAAAAACCATCTCACAACAGTAGTTATTTTTCTTCTTTTTTTTTTTCCAAAATTAAAATTTATAGATAATTTATGTTTTTAAATATGTACTGTCCTTAAGAATGCAATATTAGTGATAAAGTGGATATTAAACTAAAAACAAGAAGAAAATATTCTCTTACCTTAAAAAAATAAAAATAAAAGATCATACTTAATTTAGAATTTCTTATATATAAAAAAAATTATTAGTATTATAAAATAAGAGTGGTAATCTTAACCTTAACATTTAACAGATATTTGCTTTGAGGAAACTAGAG